CCCCGCCTGCCCCCCCCGGGGGGAGGGCCCCCCCCCCAGCCATGGTGCAGCCTGAGCTGGTCCCTGCGGGGATGAGGAGAGGCCACAGCCTCAGACCACAGCCCTGCGTCCCTAGCGCCTGGCCGGGCTTGGCACGTGCTAGGCAGGAGGGACCCCCGGGGGGGCCCTGCCTCACCTGTCACCGAGGAGATCGGGGTGGGCCGCGAGGGTCTCCGTGACTTTTGGGTCCTCAGCGCTGGCTCTGCCTGCCCTGCTGCCCCGCTGCCCCTGGGCTGCCTGCTGCCCCCGCCAGAGCCCCCGCCAGCGCACGGCGTGCCACCAGCCACCCGAGTTGTCCATAACGAGGGACCGTGAGCAGGGCTGTGGCCTCCAGCGCGTCCTGGCCCGGGGAAGGCATGCAGGTCTGCGCTGCAGCCGTCCAAGGGCGCAGGCGGCTGCACCGAGTGATGCACCGGGCACCACCTTCTGCCGGCCCCTGGGGTTCGTTGCCGCAGCACAGCACCGCTTCAGGATGGGGAATCGCCGTTGCAGCCCAGCACCCCAGCTCGCCCCAGGACGGAGCATGCTCAGAGCAGCCAGCGCAGCAGCAAGGCCAATTCCAAAACTTGAGTCTCCACAGAGCATGTGCAAAGTGGGACATCTTAGAATTTCCCATTTCGGTCAGATTTGCGTTTGCTGCTGCTCACAGGCTCAGCGAAAAGAACTTCCCGATAAAAGCAGCGCTCCTCGGGGGAAAGGCTGCCCTGATCCCCGATGGACCGGGGCAGGACAGCACGGTCCCGAGCACCCTTCCCCGGGCGGGCTGGGCTGTTCTCGCCAAGTTTCACTGGACGCAGACGTTCAGCTTGTTAACGTTCAGCCTGATCAGATGAAACCTGACAACAGGCAATGGAAAGCAAGCTCTTGCAATGGGGTTGCTGGCAGGCACCGCTGGTGCTGCCATCCGCTCTCACAGGCTTGCAGCTCCTCTGCTACTCCCAAGCGCTGCACTGTGCATCGCCGGGTTCTGTGCTGCGCTGGGGCGGGTGGCTGCGCCCATGGTGGCCAGGTCTGCAGCATTAGCGTCTCCTTGGGCTAGGAGAGGCAGCTGGGGGAGGGAGCAGGGTGGCTGCTGCAGACCGTGGCACGTGGGGAACCCAGGGCTCTGCTGGATTTGGCAGCAGTTTAACGTATGTGTCCACCCATCTCCAAATTCTCCTTTTCCCTCCCCATCCCATGGAACTGGGGGGCAGAGCGGGGGTCTGGCAGCAAGCACATCACGGCTGAGAGAGTCTGCTGCCTTTCCAGCAGGGAATCACCCTGCGAACAGGATGACTGTTTGAAGAAGGGACTGATTTGGAGATGAACCTCAGAGGCTCAGGCAGTGCCCAGAGCTGCAGGCAGGTGAAGGCTGCTGGAGATTGCCATCCAGACTTGTCCTGTTCTGGATTTTTCCTGGCATCTGCTCGCAGCCACCACTGGAGATCAGCGCTGGGGGTGGCTCTGGAGGTCACCCTCACAACCTGGGGACCCCGAGTCTGTGCCAGTTTATCTGTGGCTGCGCCTGCTGCTCGCTTCTGAGCCAGGTCTCCTTCCCCTGCTGCCGGGGGGGTGATGGTCCCTGGCCACAACAGCCGCTCTCCAGCACAGGGGGACACACTGCTGGACACAGGCCGGATGACGTGCCCCCGGCTGGCCTGCTCTGAATGGGGGCTGCACCCCAGAGGTCCCTGCGCCCCGGCATCACCCTGCACCGCCAGCTCTACCCTTGGGGTCAGCAGCGGCCGAGCATGCACCTCGTTAGCGCACGTACAGCGCAGGCCATGTGAGGTGCGAGGGTCAGCTCTGCACTGAGTGGTGCGGGCCACCCCCCTGGGCCGTGGCACCCACCTTGTCCCGGGGCAGCAGTGGGCGCAGGAGGTAGT